GCCGCCATCTGCGTTCATAAAAACAGCTTTTCACTTTGTACAGGGACCTCCAGTTAATGCGTCGATGAGGCGAAAGCTCTTAACCGCTGTTGCCGGTAGCAGTGGGAAAACCCGCTATTAACTCTACCTCTTGTTCCTCTTTTTCTTGTTTCATTTTTCTTACTTTGATATCTTTGTTTGGCTGCTTCCGCTGCCGCGGCTGCCACTCGTCCCCCTGCTACCGGGCTCTTCCGAGTCTCGGCGAGCTCTGTCACCCCCGCAGGGACGGCCGCTCTGGCAACTGGGGCTTACTCTGCCAGCTGAAAGGGGGAACTCCCAAGGAAGTATGGGCAAAGAATGCACTGCGCACCTTCAGGCACCCGGGAACACTACAGGGGTCATGGCTGAAGGCCCCACGCCTCCCTTTCCTGCCGGTCGTGCCGCTGCAAGGGGCGCAAAGAGTTTCCCTACTGTGCTTCTTTGCCTCCGTTGCTGCGGCTACCCTTTGCCGGAAACCGGAGAAATAAAAACTAACCACACTAATCCCCAACCTGTTGGCGCTGCAGGGGATAGGTGGGCTGCCAGGGGGGCCACGACCTAGCCTTAGTTGCAATGGGGGTGTTGGTTCCTTTCTATCGTAGGTTAAGTATCAGCTCACTATGATATAAAGTGAAGAAAGTGCAAAATAAGTCATAATTAATAGGAGAATGTCTCTATAATAGACGCAAAAGGCGCAGAATGAACTGATAATGCTAGGTGTCAGCCAGGGGCCACTGACACGGGAGACGTGGGTGAGTCTATCCACCTGTCTCTCCGGCTGGATAGCTAGCGGAGAAACGAGATGGCTCCCACTTTGTACGACAAGAACAAACAGTTCTGTTCATTATGTTTCTCCCCTCTTGTTCTTATTGGGGAGTAATATGATAGTTTCTCCCAATATACATGGGTGAACTATAAGACCTAGGTGTACCGTAGCAGGCGGTTTGCAAGATCTGCCACACAGAGTCTTTCTCTCATCTAAGCACTTAAAAGCAACGAGCATATCCACTGAGAAGTAAAGAGTTCGTGGGTTTTCTCTTGGAGCCGTACCATGCTCCTATGACGAAGACGGGGATCCATCCGCCGAACACCCGGAAAAAACATGGGGGGGGCCGGGAGATGTTCTTTTGTCCTCGTCTTGGATTCTTGAAACCTGCAGATGTCCGATGCGGTCTTTTCATCTAGCTGGCTGACTCCTTCGATAGGCGGCAAACGGTGCGGAGCCTCACGTACTGTGGGTGAAACAACCAAGTACAAGGGGAGTCCCGATGAATTGCATCGGCCGGCAAAGCGCTCCAGCAACAGAGGCAGAATACTCCCTGTTACTGCGCTGCCTCTGCTGCTGCTGCTGGGTCCTGGGAGAAGCGGCAGCTTCTCCGTGCTGCGCTTCGGCACCCCACACTTCACCTTGTTTCCTGTTGGTGTCGCCGAGGGGTGCTGCTGTCGCCGCAGCCCTGTAGCCTCCGCCCAGAAGACAACCCCTCCCAGTAGGGCTGGGCAGGGCAGAGCCGGCAACCGCCGGAGCGGTGTAGCAGGGGATGCAGAGGACGGGCATGCAAACGCAATGGAGGGGGGTCCGCTAGGGTGCGCGTGGGGCTCTTCCACTCACCCGCACCCTTCCCCGCAGCATGTAAATACACACACACAGGCCAGGTTAGGGCCCCTGTACGACGCTTAGCATGTTGCCAAGCGCCTTCTTGAGCAGTTAATTGTCGTGCAACGAAATAAATGGAGACTGATCCGAATCCCCAGGAGAAACCGTACGTGTCGAGCTCAGACAACGTCGCTGTGGTTTCCGCTTCCAGCACCCATACCTGAGAATATGTCACAATGGA